GAGAAGAAGAGTGAGTTTTTTGCTTTGGGTGGGAAAGGGTGGGGGGGTTTCTGGCCAGTTATTTTGTGTGATGTATTTACTGTGCTACATTCCTTTATTTAACAGAGCTAACATCTGTAAGATTTGCAACAATAAAATACAAAATGAAAATACCTCAGACAAGGCTGAGAATTTGCTCATACTGACTTAAGGGCTGGCTTGCCAATGCTGAAAGGTGTCTGAACTTCTCTTTTGCCATTTAGTCTGGAGTAATCCTATATGTCTGCAGGTGTGAACCAATGCAGTTAATTTTCTTTTTAAAGCAGTACTCTTTTCAGGTAATACATGACACTAGTGCTCCTAAATGAAGCTGATTCCTAATCTAAGGTGACATCCCAGTTTTTACCATGTGAAATGTGACCATGTTTGCATCGTAAAAACAATGAATTTTTTCAAGATGCCTTTATGTGACAGAAATACTATTTCATTGACTGAGAAACTTTAAATACACCTTTTTTCATAAATGAGGCTTTGATAAAAATTCTTCACATTTACTGTAATTTCTGAAACCGATGTTTTTCTTCAAATGTCATCAGCATGGTTTATACTAAAGACCTAATACCATTTGAATAAATAAAACGTAGAATTATAATATGTCTGTCCTTAGAATAAATCCTGGAACTGCCTCTGCTAAAGGCTGAAAGTTAAAAAAAAGTTAAGGTTAAAAATATTTGTATAACAAGAGACTGATTATGAAAACATCTTGGTATTTGGAAGTCAACCAGAAAATGTTACCAAAGGAGCATTTCTACAGGTGAGACTTCATAGGATTTTCTGTGCCTCATAGGCACACTACTCCATGAGTACTTTGAAACTACAGAATCAAAACCACACACAGTTGATTCAGAAGAGAGCTAACCATGGGCCTTCAGCCACTTAGAGGCTGTTCATAACATGAAATACAAATACTGTCCACATGAGGGAATTAAGTATTTAACCTTGTTTGCTTAAATGTTAGATTGAAGAAATTGTGAAGTCTCTGGTAAAGGGACTGCACATCACCAAACTTCACAGAGACACAATAGGGTACTAGTGTATCACAAACAGATGAGATGCAACTGAGAGCCCAATAAAGGTCAGCTTGCAATCTGCTTACTAGGCTTTTTTTAACTTGCAGAACAAGCCTTCATTTTGGAGTCTGTGCATGAGGATATTAAAAAAAAAGTTATGATTATCAACACACCCACCCACTTGTCAGAAATTATTTTCCTGTGCAGTAGTGCTCTACTGAGCACTCCTGACAAAAGTCCTCTGGTGAGGAATAACCAGTAACCAGCTCAAAGTACACTTTCCCTGAAAACACCAGTAAGACTGTGAGGCCATTCATTTTCTGCTCTCTGGATCCTCCTCTGTGCTACGTGGTCTTCATCTGTGGTGATAGTACTCAGATCACCACAACTCTCCAGGTACAGCAATCCAGGATGCCATCTGACAGGTAACATATGGACTCTCAATGACATGACTTGCTGGGCGGGTGCCATCACCTTTAAAAGGAAAAAAAAAATGTAAATCACTTTTGGTTTCAGGCTCTTGTTCCATTAAAATAGTTTCTTGCCCAACTAGGAGGAAGCTAGTTGTGGTGCTGTTATATTTAAGAATAATTTTAAAAGCTATAAAATTGCTGGTATTTGTCAAGAAGGTGTGGGAAAAGCAATCCCACCTGGGAAAACAAGCGGGCTAATTTTTTGTTTTGTTGTTGGTTGGTTGGTTGGTTGGTTTGTGTGGTTTTTGCTTTTCCTCTCAAAGCTTCACAGGAATTATCTCACCCCAACCTATGGCATGTCCACTATTGCTTAAAAGGAATCTGTCCATTGCTTCCTGCAGAAGCCACTGAACTGTAATAGCCCTCGGTGTGCTAAATGAAATTCTCATAAGGAACTTTTTTTTTTCCAGCTGTTTCTGTCAAATTTGTTGACACTTCTGTTGCCTGCAGGCTGCACTGGGAAATCTTACTTTATCTTTGATGCATTTTCCATGAGAACCCAAACCAAAACCAGCTGACACAGCAAATCACTTTTAACATGCATGAATCAATTAATCTATCCAAATGGTCATTAAGCTACCAAAACATTTATTTGATGAAGTCTGCAATGCCTGAAACTTCTGAATATTCATTCCATTAATGTAAGCATGTATTTTCTATATTCTGCTTTGCTTTCTTTAGTACTAGGTCTTGCTTTAATCCTGAGAGCCAGTCACAGAAAGTTGCTTCTAGTGGGTTTCCATAAAAATTTCCTTGGCATCCTCCATTCCTTCCGTTTTGTAGTAGTTAGTGCATATTTTTAACACCTCCCCCCTTCTCCCCTGCCACACTCAGTATAAAATGCTGTCATGTTATTTACAGTTCATGATTCTACCACAGAAGACTGATTCATTCCAGTCTTCTGAAAACCCTCCTAGCTCTGTGGCTGATAGAACATGAGACATCAGAGCTGCATAGGCTATTGCACACTCTTCACATGATGAAAGTAAAGTACTGAAGGAAACTAATTTGGTCCAAATATTTTGACACAGAGAGTGGCAGATGTGAACCTATACTTCCAAATGAAGGCCAGCCAGTTTCCACATCACTTGATAAATACAAATAATAAAACTACCTGCTCAAGCAAAGTGGCACTGGTGATGGTTTCTGCCGTGTGTTTGTCATCTGATCTTAAAATGGACTTGGTATTTTCCACCAACTCATGTATGTCAGGGCCTCTGCTGCACGAGGACTGCTTAGGGATCCATGCCACAAGCCATTTAGTGTCCATGTAAGACTTGTAGTCTATCAGATTGGGGTCTTGCCCTCAACGTTCTTGCTTTTGAACTCTTCCACAAAGTGACAGTGTGAAGTTGTTGTTTTACATCATTCTATATTGCAGTTTCACAGTTGAGCACTGTCCCTGAATACAAAGATGAAACAAAACAAACAATCCATATGATCCATGGTATCCCCTGAGATTTCAGTCCTGATTCAGTGAGGATGCAGTGTACAGTTGAGCCATGTAAAACTTAACAGTCGGGCATGGTCAGGGTGGCCTGGAATGCTCACTCTCTGTTGGATTTACACTAGAGAAAATGCCTGTAAAATGGAGTCATACATAGCTATGGTTGAGTGCACATCACATGTCAAAGGATCTGAAGACACATTTTTGGGAAAACCATTTGCCACTTTTTGTAAACTGGTTCCTTTCTCTTGTTTCTGATCTGAAGAGATGAGAAATGAGCTTTGCGTGTTAATGTTAACATACAGTTATATAAAGCAGGTTAAGCAAAGCTAGTAGGCTAGTTAGAGGCTAGAAATACTATAAAGTGAAAATTTAATGAGAAAAAACTACCACATCCAAGCATTCAAAATTGCCTTGCAAGGACTAAACAAGGGGCAAGAGGGAATCAGTTTCACAGCCTTTGGTATAAACAATCATCAAGTTCTGACCTTGTTACAAATAGAAAAATAAGAACACCTACAGGTTGTTCAAGAAACACTTTAATGTTGGCTTTACACCAAACACAATACTAGGAGGAGATGCAAACCTTCCCAACCAGAAGTCCATTATCTAACTTGAAGTAACTTACATTGTTCCATTAGAGTGAATTCCCTTTCTGCACCACTCATGTCTAACTTTTAGGTCCACTGCTGAGCAGCAGACCTAACCTCAATAACACTGAGCCTAAAGCTTCCAAATGCTTCTGTCATGGAGTCTCTACAGCAGAAATGCTCTGCTTTCACAGATATGAATAGGCTGTGTCATGCAACTATTGCTTCAGCAGCAGATTCTCGGGGGTGCTGGAGTGGCAGTTAATGGGAATAAAGGAGAAAACACATGATAGAGCGGATGCATTAAATTGTTCCACTAAACAGCATGTGTAATCCAGGCAGGCTCCCAAAATCCAAAATAAACAGTTGTTACTAACATGTCCTATTCACACTTAGGTTGTGAGTGCTAATATGTATCAGCAGCTACTATAAGGATTCCAATATCCCCTAACAAAAACTGCAAAACTGTTGACTAGTGCATTTTTTAAGACTGTCAGCAGACTCAAGAACTCTGTAGTCACACCCTACACAGCAACAGTATTGAATCACTGACAGCAAAGTAGCTACATCAGCTCTCCGCCTTGGGTTGTGTTGAGTTTCAGGTTGAGTTTTTTTAAATACTATGACAGTCTAGAAAAGGGGAGTAAAGTTACAGGCTAATACTGAATATCCAAGCTGATTTTGCTCTAAATTGCTCACACTGACAACTGCTCTTGCAAAGTTTTAGATGTCAGTGCACTGGGAAATCATATGTGCTCTCTCCTCATCTTCCACCATCCCTCTTTCCTCCCCAAACTAGCAATGCCTGCTACAGACCCTGTTCCTAGATGTGAAAGAGCAGCGAGACTAATGTGTTAGGTGTAGAAGGTTTGGCAAAGCACAAACTGTTGTAATGTAGGTACTCTGTTGGGAGACAGTAACTGATTTCTGCAGATACTAGGTTCAAGGTACCAAACTTCCTGATAAATTGTCTTTTAAGGACCTATTACATAATCACCTATAGGGAAAATTAAGTCACCTTGAGCCAACTGGCAGTGCAGAAGCACAGGGTCGCTTTTCAATCCTTTCCGCAAGGGACTGAAGGCTCTCTTGTTCACTCCTTCTGCAGGCATGCAGCTTGCATTTGAAGGTGAAAGGCTTGCTCTGCTGGAAGACTCATGAATTTCCTCAGCTAAGTGATCAGGGATAGTAAAGAAAAAGTAGTCAGAACAAAGCAGATCTGTAGAAGTCATTATTAGTGATCATTACTGATTTTTTTCCCCATTCCCCCTGCAAATCTGTAATGACAGGACACAACAGTCTAGAGGTGTATCAGTCACTCAACAATAACCCTGATCTAAAGCCTGTTTAAACCTTTGCAGAAACCTATTCTTGCCTTATGCAACTGGAGTAATAAAATACTACAGCCTTCCCTAATAGAAAAATCACTTTAAACTACCTGGTCAGAGAGAAGGGAGATACAGCTTCCTTGGAAAGAAAACTAAATCTCAGAACCCAAAATCCTCCTGCATAGAAGCAGTTGTACCAAGATATGACAGCATATGGCAAGAGGGGTTGGTCACCTTTGGCAATTAAGTAGCTTGTAAATCAGTCACCAGTCCCTATAAAGGAATTAAAAATCTTGTTTCATGAGGTTCATTACTAAAATAAAGGTCTTCCTGAATTCTTGGGATGTATTTTATCATTCCAATTAATCAAAATTCCTCCTTTTCCTTAGGGTGAAATTTTAGGCTATGATTCCCATAACTGCCATTTAGAACAGGACAGGATGAAGCTATGTATTTCTCAGCAAGCCTGGTTCTGTACCTGCCTCAGATGGCGCCTGGCCTGGTTCTGTCCCTGCCTCAGATGGCGCCTGGCATATTACAGTAAACAATGTTTTTGCTTATCCAAGAGTTTAAAAAAATGTGGTGGGTTGGCACTGGGTGGATGCCAGACACCCACCAAAACTCCTCTATCACTCCCCTCTGCAACTGGACAGGGGAGACAAAATATTATGAAAGGCTCATGAGTTGCAAAAAGGACAGGGAGAGATCACTGTTAATCAAATTTATAGTTTGATTATGCTTTTATAATTAAAACTATATGTTTATAGTTTTATATAAAATAGATATTA